TTTGATCAGTATATAGCTTATACCTAAGATACCTGGAACTAGTGTTTGTACTCGATCAAAAAAACATTACTCGGTTAACCGACAAGTAAACCCACAGGTTACTCGAGTAATCGACAAGTATACCCGAGTATAAAATTTTATCTGTTGTACCTGAGTAAGCTATTAAGAATGGGGTATTCACATGTTTGTATAATATTTTGTAGCCAATTAAAATTTTACGTTCTTGTTCATGTAACTTCTGATAACTCTTAAGTGATTTGCCTTTTGTCAAGTCAGCTTCTTGTTACTTAACTAGATCATATCTAATCTACATTTAATAACCATAGTTCTATATAGAATTTTGCTTTAGTTCTATATAGTATTTTCAGTTTAGTTCTATATAGTATTTTCACTTTAGTTACTATAAAAAAAAAGCTAACGTATTTGATAACTAACATTTTAGTCTATCGCTTAATCTTGGATTGCTTTTAAATAATAATAAAAAAGTATTTTTACTACAATCTTTATGAACTTATGCGTATTTTATTCTAATGGTTTATATTACAAATAGCTGCAGTGTACTAGAAAAAAATATATTGCATTGTTTTCATTAATTCTTTTATTTTAGAAATTTCTTGATTTATTGTTAAGTACTTTATTGTATTTATTCTATTAGACAAGCTTCTTAAACATGAACTAATAAGTACTTAGATCTAAGCATTTTTACAATACAGGCTATTTCGCTTAACAAATAATAATTCATTAACAACCTCGGGTGATAGATGGGTTCTTTTGGGTGTAATTTGATTTTCAGTGTCCGAAAATAACTGTTCACTTGGAACAGATGTAGTGGGAATCGATAAATATTTCCATGCCATTCAGCTTAATATAGGGAATATGTGCTTGTTAGTATTCCATCAATCATAAACATCTGTGGTATCAGATGAATTTGGTGTAATCATTTCATTCAAGTAATTATCGATTTCAATTTCTCGATTTATTCGACTTTGATTATGGCTAAATAATTTCCTATGAAGCTAGATGTGGGCGAAGATATTTCATTGTTAGTGTTTTCAACTAATTCATCAGTTATAGCAGTATTTTGCCAAACTTTAAATTTGGCAAGTAGCTTACTAATTGTATCATTTCATGTTTCATTTGACCACACTGACATTGATTTTAGTCGAGGGTCTAATAAAGTGATGATTAATCCAATATCTCCAGGATCATGCCAATAATGTTCAAGAGAATTATAAATAGCTCTTCGAACTTGCAAAATTACTTCTTTATTGGAAAGTGGTTGTTGGGCATTTGTATCATCTGAGCTATAGCTATCATCTTCAGATGATTCATCTTAAGTATTAATATTTAATATTGCAAAAAAAAAAAAAAAGTTTAAAGTATTAATTTAATATTAACATTGCAAAAAAAAAAAAAGGTTACTATCTATTTTATTTTACCTTCAATATTAGGTACACTTTCTTCATCGATCTCAAGTTCATCTAACATTAATACATTGTAATCGGCAAATTCAAGTTTTAATGATTCAATTATTGGATTAACAGCTGAAAGTGTAGTATATTTGATACCACTAAGATAAGTTGTTAGCTCATCAAATGGTTTAAACACATCTATTAGTTCTTGCAACAATGCCTACTCATTATCTTTGAGCATAAGATGGTTTAATTTATCTGAGTCTTTTTTAACACCCATTTCATCTTCTAAACGTAGGGTGATGGCGAGCCTTTTGATGGCTGAACGCAATATTATAAGCCTTTGCCAGGATTTGTAGGTGGAGTTCCACCTAGTTTTTATGTTGCTAATGGTATGCAGCACTTTAAATTTGGGTTTAGATGTTTCTGACTTGTCATCATCATCTGCCTCAGATGGTGAGTTTTCATTGAAATTGTATAGTTGAACTGGGACCGAAGTGGATTTACTATGTTGAGCTAATTCAATTTGCGCTTGGTTAAGATATTAACTTTGTTTGGACAATTTAAAAAATTTAATAAGTTTATTGACCCTTCTGGTATATGGGTTTATAATTTTTAGAGCATGGATGACTGTAAGTTAGAGAGTATGGGCAGTACATGCAATACGCTCTACATTACTTCAGATTCTGATGGCTTTTTTCATATTTGCCCTGTTATCTGTAATTGCACTAATTATTTTTCCAGTCAACCCAAACTCTTGAACCTTTTGATCTAAATATTCTTTAATCTTTTCACTAGTGTGTAGGTGATCTATTTTTTCAATGCCTAAAATGACATTACGAACTTCAAAATTTGGAGTTAGCCAATGGATAGTAATGCCAATATACTCATCATTATTTCTGGATGTCCATAGGTCAGTTGTAATCAAGGCAGTTTCACAAGTGGTATAAAGCAACTTTTTTAATTCTAATATACTTTTATAGTAAGCAATGGTAAGTTGCTCTTTAATACTTTTACTATTTGGTAATTTGAATGCAGGATCAAATCTATTTATCATTTTTTTATAACCTTCTTTATGAATGACATTAAAAGGCAGAGAGTCTGTTACCAACCACTCTGCTGTAATTCTTTTTAACTCAGTTTGAATAGTTTCTTTATGAGAAGGCAGTTTCCTAATCATTTCATTTATTTGCAATTAGTGTTTGCTAGAATTTGATTTGAGATCATTTGAACCCAAAATCCCATGCTTTGTTCGAAGATAGAACTTCATATTACTAGTTCCACTATCATGCTTATAATTTGTACTACATTTATCCTTGACACCCTTCTTGAGTACAACTATCTTACAGACATCACGTTCATTTTCAACTTCAAAATAATCCCAAACATAGCTCAATAATCTTTTGTCAGCCTGTTTAGTAATATTTACTTATATTTTTTTTACACTTTGTTTTTCAGATTCTTTAGTAGTCTTTCTCATAACTGCACTGTTAGAAGATTCGCTGTTTTCTTGAGGTCCAATATCAGAGTCAGTATAAGGATTAATGTACAGGTCAGTATAGGGGTCAGTATAAGAATTATTATCAGAAACAAGGTCATTGTTGCAATCCATATTTATTGCAAGATAGAAGTATGAGATATAGGTTTTTTTAACTTAGGAAAATTTATCAATGGTAAGTAAAATCGAAAATTTCTTCTAATGCAGATGGTGATACGCGCAATAATATATTAATTGGATGGTTTATTCAACATTTCTTTTGCAACAAAGGATAAATTCAAGACTTCTTATATGAATTCTAAAGGCAAGGGCGTTTTTTGAAATTAAACATTTATGCAAATATCATTTAAGATTTAATTGTGTGCATTCTGAGAGTTTTAACAGTCTTTCTTTTACTGCATAATTCTGTGGGCTTTTAACAACTCTTTTTCATTTCATGTATTTTATAGAACTTTAACAGTTTTTCTTTCTTTAGCAATATTTATTTTTGATTGCATGCATTTCATAAACTTAACAAATTTTTTTCTATAGCATTTAGTCAATGGACCATGACACGTACAATATATACATCTTATTAAATTTTTCTTTTTCCTAGCATTCGGTCGATTGACCTTGATCGTTACAATAGTAATTTTTATTAACTTTTATCCCAATTTAATAATATTTTTGTTTTACCATTTTAGTGAATTTTGCATTTTATGATTTAACACTAACATTTTTTTGCATTATCTAATCATAGATCATTCCTATAAAAGGATGGTTTTCGCACAATTCCTGAAGTAGTTCCTCAGCAAAACACTTACCTGATATCACATAGAGTTAGGGTTAGCATTTGATTAGTTCTGGCTATACATTTTTAGTAGATTGTCACCCTGTGTGATGTCGGGTAAGTGGTCTATAGGGAATAGCTTTCAGGGAATCATACCATAACTATAAAAGAATAGTGTTAATTGTTTATTTTTTTTTAAATTTCATGTTTGAGTTTTAGTAATATTATGATCTTTATATTTGGCATTTTAGCGATTTAACAGCTTAAATGCATGCAACTATATAAGGTATTTAATTTGTTTATTAATTTTGATTATATGCAATACTAATATTCTTTAAATATAAAACTAGGGTTTATTTGTTCAGTTTGAGCTGCAGCTGCAAGACATTTTATCGTCACTATAGATAATTTAGATTAAGCAATAGCCTTCTATGTAATCACAATATAATTCAATATTTAGATACTTTTATGGCTGGCAATTTTTTCGAGTTTAGTATTACAAAGTGTAAGTTGACTGGTTGCATATGATTGCCGTTAGTTAGAGGTGTGTTACAGCCAATGCGAATGTAATTCTAGGGGTTAATGATGTTACTAAAATTTTTAATATGGCATTGAGGATTGCAGATACATCAAAAGTTTATTTATAAAACCATCTGCGTTATGAAAAAATAGATTGATCAGGTAAGTTAAATATTATGAAACGTGTTATTGATATAGTTAGCAATGGCTAATTAGTATGTTATCCTTATTATTGGTTTTGCATTTGTAAGTGATTAATCAAATTCTTTTACTTATTTTAATTGAACTGCGCAGGTCAATATGGTATGAATAGCTGCGCAGGTCAGTATGGTATGAATAGCTGTGCAATACAGACCAGAAATGTAGATAACAATCTTTATAATAATTATATACACTAGTTTTTAGACTCAAAAGACAAAAAAAATTGCTAACAATCACATGATTGTTGAAAAATTTTTCGCACTATCACTATGTATTGCCACAAACAGAATATTAAAGCCTAAATTATATGGATTAGTATGCTATTGGGATGTGCAGTAACTATTCTGAAATTTGTAGTATACAGATTCGCTATTATCATAGTATTAAGGTTAGGAATTAGGAATTTGTATAGTACAAAGTTTTTGAATAGTCATCGTTAGAGGTTGGATTTGAATTTGAAAAATTCCACATTTAATATATAAATTCAAATTTTGAATTCAAATTTATATATGAAATGTTGAACTTCTCAAATTTGAATCCAACCTCTAGTCACCATATGTTTCAGTATCATTACTAATATAATATGGGGTTGCTTGAAGCCCTACATCGATAATTTATCTATTAATCTAAGAACATCATCCATTCCTAATCGAGGTGGTCCAAGCATTACGATTAATGCATAGAGACTTGTAGTGTTTAAAATACATAGTGGCAATTTAATCAGTCTATTTCAATACAGTAAATGTAAAGGAAG